GCCGCCAGTGTTGATCTTGCTCGACTTGTGCGTCGCGGTGACGGCGAAGTGAAGACTTCGTGGATAACACGGGCCCAAGACGGTCAGATGGTCCACAAGGACGATGTGGTGGAGTTCTCGGAGGGGGTTGGCCAGGTGATGTGTCACTTGAGACAAGGAGCCATGGTTCTGACGGTTCTAAGGCCTTGGGATCACATCCATGGCCAGATGTACAAAGTGAGGGATGTGCCCATAACGATTGAGACCAAAGAGGTCAAGACATGTTGCATGTACAGCCTCAAAGGTGAAGACGCAATGGTAGTGAGGAGGTAAATACAGTGTTGGGTTGCAGCTGGTCCCTCCCATGTGATGTGATATCGTGCCACGTCATGTTACCATATGTTATATATTATATACCCCTTTCGTGTAAAGAAAGCAAAAAACCTGCTCACAAGCATACTGCCCTGCAAGCGGTCATGGCATGAATGGTGTCCTATATGAATGATCCTATCACCAGTGGGGTCAAGACATGGTACATGTACAGTCCACATGACATATTGGGTTCCCGGCCTTTCTTTCCCACGCAGGTGCTTCAAAGCCAGCGGCTGGTGACTTGGCAAAAGTATTCTTTTTTTGGGGGGTCTAGTTTTGGGGGCATGTTTAAGACCACTTAGCATACTTATTAACGCTGTTATCAAAAATAGCTTAAGTCGACTAACTAGATAGCATGTAGACTATGTACATAGTATATAGTGCAACTACTTAACAACCAAGAAGAGCCTCCAAGTATGTATGTATTATTTAATGTATTTTTCTACTACTGGGTTTACTTTCTTTCTTCTATGCTACCAACCACCCCCCAAAACCACAAAAATTATCTAGTAAAAGTCTTTCATTTTCCCTTATTCAAGCTCTATCAAAACCTTAACTTTTTCAAGCTCAGAAAGGGACCCCCTCACACAGGCCCTACCCCCGCAATAGTGGGACCACCTCCCCCATCAAGCAACCCCAGCTGCCGCAGAACATATATAGTTTACTATTGTGTATATATGGTGTTTTTATTGTTTTCGTTTTGCTAGTATTCAATATATTCATCTCCTGTTCTTCCTGTTTCTCACCGCCACCTCTCAACTGCCCCATCCTGCTCACCAATCCTTTTGACGGCTTCTCTGGATCCACCCTCACCACAAATAGCCTCACCTCAATGATCCAACTGGCGTGGCTCTCTGATCCATCGTATCTGATATCCTACCAAACTTGCGCCGATACACTCAAAGCTTTCTTGGTTATCATGGTTCAAACTCTCATCTCCTCATGTCCCATACACTCAACCATCACCCATCAGGTCTTCATCTCGTCATCCATCATCAGGTCATCACCTTTATTAGGGGGATGTCCTCCTCAATATCTCAAATCTCAAACACTATCTCAAACCCTGTTGACCTAGAAGGGGGGGCCGGTTGATTAATCCTACATCGACATTACTGTTTGGAGTTGTTGTTTGCACTGCGCTGGGAACATTCCCATTTGCTAGTGTAGGGCTGGTTCTGCATCCGTTGGTCGGGTTTCACCCATTTCACCCCTCATCCAACAAAGCCCCACTTGGGACGTGCGCATCGCCCGACGTTCGTTGCCGCCACCATTCCATAAACATCGCAAAGGCCATCGTACACAGTGGCCCCAAGGGAACAACACGTTGAAAGGAAATGGTTGTAGAACAAGCTGATGCAGGTTGCACCTATCGATCTGACCAAAACCACTCGCACTTCCCACCGGCAGACCCCTCGCACTTGCCCCATGATTTTTTAAGATTCTGCGTGTGCACTTCGGAACCAGCCCATGTGGCGCAGGCATGGTGAACAAACGAACGTCCAGCGCCCGCCGCTATGCCAACAAGCGCAGGTGAAAACATCCGCTAATTCGTCCCCCGCGGGCCCCCATGGCCGCGAGTATCCGCGAGTTGTGTGGGCCGTGCGCTGGCGGCTTGTGCCTGCCCCTGCCGCGTGGTTTTGCGCGATTTAAGCCGCGTAAGTTCTTTCAAACACACACCAACACCCAATTGAGCAAATGTGGGGTTCTTGCTTCTGAGCGCTTGAAGTAATGCCCACTGCTCGGTACAACAGCGTCCGCAGATCGCCAAGCACGCCGCGGCATGTACGGCAACGCGTGCAACATGCAACTGCGACATTTGGAGCGGCAATGTGGGTTTTCAACATACGGCACAAGTCTAGCGCAGAACGACAGTGACATGGAGGCCAACAACGACGCGGTAGTGAGTTTACATGTTTCAATCGGCGACCTATGACGCCAACATAATCACGTCAACGAAATAAGTAGTTCAATGGTGCATTTTGTTCGGCGAAACTTGTGAGACGCACAACGGTGTTTGATGATGACCATGTTAGTGTTGGATGCCATATGGCACACTTTGCCAGACTTGCTTGCCGAAAGTCATTTCCATTCCGTTGTGTGTGGTATTGGCACACTGTACACCGCAATGTATTTCTTCCACTTGATTTGGCTATACGCAGCTGCTCCGAATCCTGAACAATATTGCATACAATGTGCAAAATTAGAATCCTACTATGAAAAAATTTCCCCACACTGTTGTGTGGGGTTCTTGTTTTTTTGCTGCGCCTCCTCGCTCGTCCTCCTCCCTCCTTCCTCATGTACGCCCTGGCGTCGTCTGGCGTCGTCTGGCGTCGGCTGGGCACCGGCGCAGATTTCGTGGCAGGCGCAGCACTTTCTCACACAACATCTCTCACAACAACATCACTCAGACAACATCCCACACACAACGTCTCGCACACAACATCACTCACACAACATCTCTCACAACAACATCTCGCACACAACATCACTCACACAACATCCCACACACAACGTCTCGCACGCAACATCACTCACACAACATCCCACACACAACATCACTCACACAACATCCCACACACAACATCACTCACACAACATCTCCAACACGCCCGCTGCTTGCCAAGGGGTCGGATGCCAAGGGGTCGGATGTACGCCCTGGCGTCATCTGGCGTCGGCTGGGCACCGGCGCAGATTTCGTGGCAGGCGCAGCACATTGCTGCTTGCCAAGGGGTCGGATGTACGCCCTGGCGTCGTCTGGCGTCGGCTGGGCACCGGCGCAGATTTCGTGGCAGGCGCAGCACTTTGCTGCTTGCCAAGGGGTCGGATGTACGCCCTGGCGTCGTCTGGCGTCGTCTGGCGTCGGCTGGGCACCGGCGCAGATTTCGTGGCAGGCGCAGCACTTTGTGAACCTCCATGTGCAGATTTTGCGTTGCAGGCACAGCATCTGTGGAGCTGGAAGCTGAGAACTGGCGACTTTGTAGTACAACTTTAGTACGCGGAGTATCTGCGGGGCTGGAAGATGAGAACTGGCGACTTTGTAGTACAACTTTAGTACGCGGAGCAATCTGTGGAGCTGGAAGATGAGAACTGGCGACTTTGTAGTACAACTTTAGTACGCGGAGCAATCTGTGGAGCTGGAAGCTGAGAACTGGCGACTTTGTAGTACAACTTTAGTACGCGGAGTATCTGGGGAGCTGGAAGATGAGAACTGGCGACTTTGTAGTACAACTTTAGTACGCAGAGTATCTGGGGGGCTGGAAGATGAGAACTGGCAACTTTGTAGTACAACTTTAGATTTCGTGGCAGGCGCAGTACTTTGTGAACCTCCACGCGCAGATGTCGTGGCAGGCGCAGCACTTTGTAAACCTCCATGCGTAGATTTCGTGGCAGGCACAGCACTTTGGGAACCTCCATGCGCAGATTTCGTGGCAGGCACAGCACTGTGTGAACCTCCATGCGCAGATTTCGTGGCAGGCGCAGCACTGTGTGAACCGTACGCGGAGCAATCTGTGGAGCTGGAAGCTGAGCACTGGCGACTTTGTAGTACAACTTTAGTACGCGGTGTATCTGGGGAGCTGGAAGATGAGAACTGGCGACTTTGTAGTACAACTTTAGATTTCGTGGCAGGCGCAGTACTTTGTGAACCTCCACGCGCAGATTTCGTGGCAGGCACAGCACTGTGTGAACCTCCATGCGCAGATTTCGTGGCAGGCGCAGCACTGTGTGAACCTCCATGTGCAGATTTCGTGGCAAGCACACAGCACTGTGTGAACCTCGCGGTGCAGATTTCGTGGCAGGCACAGCCCTTTGTGAACCTCCATGCGCAGATTTCGTGGCAGGCACAGCACTTTGTGAACCTCCATGTGCAGATTTCGTGCCAGGCACGCAGCATCTGTGGAGCTGGAAGCTGAGAACTGGCGACTTTGTAGTACAACTTTAGTACGCAGAGAATCTGCGGAGCTGGAAGATGAGAACTGGCGACTTTGTAGTACAATTTTAAGTACGCGGAGTATCTGCGGAGCTGGAAGATGAGAACTGGCGACTTTGTAGTGCAACTTCAGTACGCGGAGCAATCTGTGGAGCTGGAAGATGAGAACTGGCGACTTTGTAGTACAACTTTAGTACGCGGAGCAATCTGTGGAGCTGGAAGATGAGAACTGGCGACTTTCTAGTACAACTTTAGTACAAGCGCCAAGCAGCATACATCCACCCACACACTGATACACACTGACGAACAAGCGCATACACACAAACACACACCTCACGTACACACAGAGACCCTCACGCCTTATATCTGTCTCGCCAGTCTCTTCCCCACGCTCACTCTTCCGCACTTTACACCTGCAGCCTCAATCTTTCGAAGTTGTTCACATGTGGGGTTATCCGGTCCTATAATTGAATCAATTATGCCAGCATCGACCCCAAACAGTTTCAAAACGACTCGTTGGGACCAATCGGCCACAGAGTTCAGGGGCGCGGCCAGTGAGTGTGGCCAGTTTTTTCTCAGGTAGAACCCCAACAGGAACCGGTCGGTGAAAAACTAACATATGTTGAATGATGATGTTGGCGCTGCGGCCCCGGCCGCTGTCGACATGCCGAAAAGCCAACTTAGAGAGAAGACTACGGGGTGGAACCTGCAAACTTGGTTCAGTGGCGGTGCCTTACTTGCACCAATTTGTCCCGTAGCTGGACCATAGTGACAGGCTTTGCCATGGAAGGTTTGCATCGATTTTGCCGTGTTGCAGCGGGTGGCGCGCACAGTTTGCTGGTCACTGAACGCGCCGAAGTCTTAGCGTGGGGCAGCAACTCACATGGCCAAGTTGGCAACGACAGTTTGGAGGACGGAACGCCGAATTCCTTCAAAACCATAAACCAAGAGGTGGATGGATGCTAAAACCTTTGGTTAGGTGTTGTTGACCCGTGTTGCCTGTGCAATAGTTTCGCCACGCCAGTTGTGTTGTGCAAGTTGGTTGTATCGTTGAACGGTGGCACATGTCGGAAATTGTTGGTTTGTTCTTCAGCAGCCCTCCGCCGCATTGCGCGTGTGCCAAGGGTGGTTTGCAAAAATAGGTTGGTCAGTGCCTTTTTGGGGGTGCACAGCCTCACGACACGGCTCACCGTTCGCCGAGCAGAGCAAGTCAAACGATTACTATGTAGTTGGTTATTTTTTCAGTGCTGCCACATGCTGCCACTCGTGTGAGCACATCCATGCTTCAACCTGTACGCGCGATTCAATGAACAAACGTTATGTAACAAATACCCCCGCCACGATTCCCTTCAACAATGTCAAAACTCAATGTGTGGGGCCCCATTGCGTACCCAAACCATTTCAAAACCCGCGCGTTGAGCATCAGCGTTGTCGCGCGAAAACAACGCGTCATTTGTAGGACATCCCCTTCCCAGTGACTGTGATCGAACCTGGGCGCGCTCAATTCGTGTTCGCCGGGAGATACTCGTCGATGATGATCGACTTGGATGGGCAGTTGTGGGCCTGGGGTTCCAATGAGGATGGCATCCTGGGAATTGGCAGCGGTGTGGCCAAGCAGGTAGTCCCAACCCGGGTGGAGACCGGTGGCAAGGCTATCAAGCATGCAGCTGGAGGGTGGAAACATTTTTTGGCTGTGACTGAAGATGGTGAGCTCCTCACTTGGGGAAACAATGACTATGGTCAACTGGGGGATGGAACTCAAGAGAAGCGTCGTGCAGCAATGGTTACACCACTACCCGGAAATGTTCGGGCGGAAGTGGTCAGTGCTGGATCCTACCAGTCCCTGGTTCTAACGGATGCTCGGTGCGGTGATGACGCTTTAGCAGTCTTTGATTTGTTGGCCTTGGTGTTCTTCCCTGCCTACCGTGTTAAGGGTTTTAGTTATCAGAGCTCTTCTGTTCTCCTCCTGTCCTCTTCCTTCTCCTCCTCCACCCCCTCCCTGCCAGCAAGTCAGGGCAAGTGGCAAATCGCAGTGGGCACTACCAGACAACAATTGCAAGTGCATGATCACAGTGGGCACTACCGAACTTCAATTGCAAGTGCCAGATCGCAGTGGGCACTACCGGACCTCAAACACACGTGCCTGATCACAAGGGGCACTGTCGGACCTCAGCACTGCCGGACCTCAACCGCACGTGCCAGATCGAGAGGGCACTGCCGGACCTCAACCACACATGCAAGATGGCAATGGGCACTGCCGGACCTCAACCGCTTCGAGGTTCACAAAGTGCTGTGCCTGCCACGAAATGTGCACTTCGAGGTTCACAAAGTGCTGCGCCTGCCACGACATTTGCACTTCGAGGTTCACCAAGTGCTGTGACCGCCATGAGATTTGCAATTTAAGGCGCTCACATTATTGCTGCCCCTGCCACGACATCTGCACATCAATATCCCAATCGCGCAGCCCTGCCAACGCGCTTCGCAGTAGCAGGCGCAGCCCTTAGTAGGGGGTAAGACACTGACAGTTTTTTGACGGCAATGTATATTTTTTTGATAGCCCGGCCTTGCGGTGGACCTCAGCAGCATGCAAGTACCAGATCGCAGTGGGCAGGCACTACCGGACCACAACAGCAAGCGCAAAATCGCAGTGGGCGCTGCCGGACAGCAACGGCCAGCTCCAGCACCGGAACCTGCCAGAGAATGTCAAAAATGTATTCCAGATAGAAGGTCGTAATATTTGCTAGATAGAATTGACTGTAAGAATGTATGGCACACAGAATGCAAGAATAGTTGCCAAGTAGACAGATGTAGAAAACTAGAAATGAGTCAAAATCCAAAAATAGCCGGTAGCAACGGGGATACTTCGAGATACTCCGAGTGATCCCCGCCCTTAAGGGCGTTTTGTGCGGATTGATATGGTGTTCTGACGCTCGTTCTGGCATCAAGTCTGGTTTGTGCTCTGGCACATCACCTGCCATAAGGCTAGGGAACGTTCCGAACTGTGTTTTGATAATTTTGTTGGCGTGTGTTTTGACGTGTTCCATATCTGGCATGTGCTGTGACTTATGGACCAACTTCAGTCCCGGCATGTGTTCCGGCAACTGTTCTGCCATCAAGGATGTCGTGGCATTTTACTTGGCATAATAACGGGGCATATACTCTGAGTTCTATCTGGCAAAATTGTTGGCATCCTATTTGCCATAGCGGACTGCATTTCATTTGGCATCACTGCCGGCATTTTATCTGGCGTTTACTCGCGTCGTTTACGGGTTATCTAAAATGGGTCCTGCAAATGGATGACACGGACACGGACGACTCTTTACACAGTCAGTTTGGTCAGTCACAACAGAAGATTTTTTCAATTTCCAGTTTAAAATCTTTGTTGCGTGAAAAATTATCGTATATAACCATGTTCTGGATAGAGTAGTCGGTAACAACGGGGATCTCGAAATAATGTAATTTTAAATGCTTGAAATTTGGGGGCAGGTGCACCCCCAAGCTGATGGCCTCTGAAATTCATAACGGTGTGTTTCCTAGCTGCCTAGTCCCCTTTGGGCTGACGTTCCAAACACCAGACCTGACAACAGGAAACTGGCGAAGTCTTGGCAGCTGGCATGGGCTACACCAAACCCGGTTTGGAATTCCTCCAGGTCATCCGCACTGGGGTCACCATGGTTGTGGCTGGAATCTCCCACAACCTCGCTCTCACTCGGACTGGTACTGTGTTGGCCTGGGGCGCCAATGATCATGGCCAAATCGGGAATGGAAGCTTTGATTTTCAGCCCACTCCCACTGCCGTGGCGCGGAAACAGCTGATCATCGCAGCTGGTGGGAGCCAAAGTTACTGTGCAGATGATGTGTATCAAGTGAAGGCTTGGGGTTATGGGGTCATGCCAGCAGATCCGATGTCGTTGGATTGCCCCGACCGATTCACTGTCACCGAACCCACCGACTTGTTTATACCTGATGGTGCATTTTCCATCGCGGCAGGTGATGACCATGCAGTCATTGTAGGGCCACTGGGGCAGGTAGGTGCCTATGGTGCTAACATGTGTGGGCAAGTTGGGAACAACTCCCTGATGGATGTTGGCCGTATACATGCCATCCTCCAGGGTGGAACCGTGGAAATCCTCAGTCGAGAGGCCCGGCTGGCAGCTGCCATTAAAGGCCCCGCAGAGGAATACATGTTGGAGAGCAAGGCCAGCGCAGAGTCCGAGCCCACCGCCTCAGCGGTGCAACTGGCCCTCGGCCCCCGTGCCGCCGGCGGAGTGACGGGCCCGGTGGGTGATGGCGCAGGCGTTCCGATCATGATGCGGCAAGCGGCTGGTGTAGCCTTGTCCAAAAATTTGGTGTCACACGGGCCAAAGACAGCCACGTAGTATCACGTAGTCAAGTTTTAGGTTTTCAGGTTTCACTCGACTTTGCCAGAGATGATGCTTTCAGTGAGTACGGACAAGCCAACGTGACGAAAAGGAAGGTGTTTTATCGAGGATTTCCTTTTGGAGTTTGGGGCTATCAGTGATTGGAACCATTCTTGTTTACCCAGTGGCCTCCTTGCCAGACACTTGCTTGGCGACCTGGCAAGCGACCTTTGATGGAGCCCGGGTTGCCTGTGGCCTTAGAAGTTCAGCCACGCTGGCCAGAAGAAAGGCATGTTTGGAGAACAGGAGTGGGAGAGATAACAATCTCCGAAATAAAGAATGTTTTTGCCAGGGATGTGCTCTCCAAATCAAAACAGGCTAGGCCTGAGGCTAGGTCACTAGGAGTTGACTCCGCTTATGCAGCGGGTTTACTCCATGAATACTATGTTTTGGGCAACGTTTGTGATTCTGATTCTGATGTATTTGCCGAGCCCATGACTTCTCAGGTTACACATCGAGAAGTGATGCCCGGCAAATTTTGAGTTGCGGAGTTCGCGACCTCCTTGCTGTGCAGCGTGTGCCAGTCGTGGCGTGGCCACTGGAAACAATACTCCAAGTCAGCCATGTAATAATGTAATGTAGCCCAACCATGATCATCATGAAGTATTTGCGGTTCGTAGCCAAGTATTGGTGGATCATCATGTTGTAGCCCTAGCCATTGTAGAACTTTGCTTTTAAGACGTGCTTTAATGAGCCACGAACCGCCACCGGAGCGCCACCAGCGTCGCCACCAGCCTCCCGGTTGCCAGGCCAGAGGGCCTTCGCAACGTGCCGCCACCTCGGAACAAGGCGCAGCCGATGAATCCGCACCGCCACGCCCGAGTGAAGCGCTTTTCCACCGCAATGGCCGAGATAGCTGGTGCAAGGAACTAACAGCCACCAGACGCAACTTGGTCAGTTGATGTCAGTTGTACCTCTTAACGGCCGGCCTGAAAGCCCTTGGAAGTTGCATGTTGGCTTGGCTGTGTGGGCTAGCACTGCTAAACTGCACGTATATATATATGTTTAAACCACATCCTGCGCACTTCACATGTATCAGGAGGGCATCAGATAGCAGGCTCCCGAAGAAGCTATACCCAGCATGGAGGGACAAGCACTTCCATGCATTTTTGAGCGGGCTGACGGATTGCAGGTCTACCACATGACCGAAAAACGCCACGTGCGGCAGGCACTCACTACAGGGCTTGTTTGTGACACGTGGCTTGGATGTGTGCATCATGTGCTATTGGTTCATCCAGATGTGTGATGATGTGTGTGCATTTTGCTTGTGGGATTTGGGGTTTGCTACTGCAAGCCGCGCATGTCGCCAGGTGGAAAGCAAGACAGAGTTTCAGGACCTTTGGTCCGCTGGGGTTCTCCTTCCCACCGACCTTCAAGGGGTTTCACCATGACCCAAGCGAGCGGCCGACCCAAGCAAGCATAGCAAGCCGATGGGCAAACAAACAGATCCAAATGATGCCAGAGCTCTTACAAATCTTTTGCGAATGTGCTGTGCTATACTCCAATGTGATCAGGATCGGCCAAATGGAAAGAGGCTGGGCCAGTTCATGGAAGCAGGTTCGCCGCTTTTTGGAGAATGCATGCAGTTGCAGATTTGGGGCAGCAGTCCCGCTGCCCCACCCACGGCTGGAGAGGGCAGTTTCACATAGTTTCATCCTTCAATTGACTTGCTACCGAACGATCTGGACATTCTGACCTCCGGCCATAGCCGTGTGAGGGTGGTCTATCGGACCAATGGCTTGCGAGCCAGCGATCAGCCTGCCTGGTGCTGAATACTTGGTGAAAATCCAACGGGCACTGCACCAGAAGCTGAGGCACAGCTGCGACAAGAATTGCCACTCCTTTAGGAGGACACCCATACACCGGCTCACGTGTTGGGCCTTTGTTCATCATAGATTTCACCAATGCTAGGCCTGCAGGCTTTGATAGAGCTTCCAGGTGAGCTTTTTCCCTTGGGATGCCAATTGTTCTCAGAGTTGTAGGATCGATTTTCATCCATCCCAGGTCATGTCAACCACCCTTGGACTGAGGCCAAGGAAGTTGACATCACCACTGAGATGACCCGAAAGGTTCGTCAAATGGCATCAGCTAGCGCGGGGAGATCATTGAAGACGTGAGTCCAAAGGTTTGACAAAGGTAGGTGTTCACAGCTCGATCGCTGAAGCTTGCTACATGCTTGCTACTAAAGTCAGCGGGTGATGTGAAGCTATCTGGAGCTGCACAAGCTCCAAGCGTTCAGCAACATATAGCACGTTTTTAAATAAGATAGCCTTGCAGACTCCGAGTCGTCAGCAGAAACATTGAAACATGAATCGTCAGCAGCTTTTTCGGATTCCGAACCGGATCCCAACACCATCTCTGATGGATGGAGGCCCTATATACCAGAAAGAATTCCGTTGATGGTCCTCAGATGTGGCGACAGGTTTCAGGAAAGCTGCACAGGATCGACTTGCACATACAAACACGCCCCCGCATTTGATTGAACAAGACGTCAGAGCTTCGATCGCAAGTGGCTTGCATGATCTCCTGTGTCGATCATGAATCATGATCGATCGACAGGCCCGTGTGGAGGGCATGATGCTGCAGCGGAACCTGATTGACTGCCACGCGTTAGGCGGAGACTGGGCCACATGAGTCGATTTAAGATTTCCTTGAAGATTTTGGAGATTTTCCTCCTCCACGGGAAGAGCTGGTGGCTGTTGAAGAACCCTGCACGCCCCCCCCCCCCAAACAACCACAAAAGCACAAAGCTCAGATTGTTTCTCAGACATGAAGCGCGTATGCGTTTGACTGGCACCGGATGTCAGTAACTGTCTGACAGCACTGCTAGCACTTAGTTACCAGCCACCTGTTGGGAGGGGACAAGTACTACCGGCACCCGGAATACGCGCCTGGCTTCTACAAAGCCTGGCCCTGAGGGCCTGTTGGGTCCTATTGAATTCGAAATCCAACATCCACTGGCTGCGTTGGGTGGTGTTGTCGTGACCCTGGGAGAAATCCGTCTTGTCTATTAGTCCACTGAGAACTTGACACGACTGGCGATCCAAGGGTGTTGAAGATACCACCGAGGCTGGTGGTCTTATCACTGGCAGCTCCTTCCATCGTGGGATGCACAAGAAAACCCAGCCGTCCGGGCCTTAGCCCACAGCAGAGTGCCCCACTCTGTGCCCGACTTGCATAGCTGAGGCGAAATGGCATGAGTGTAGTTCTTCTTACAGAAGGCAGGTCCGTACTGATAGGACGAGGGATCACTTGTCAGGCTTCATTATGCATTTGTCCAGATTGTAACATGTTAGAAACTCCAACCAACAGCCTGTAATCGGCTGCTCCCAGAGGATTTTCGTTGCTTCCGCAAGAGTAATGGCAGGACTGTTTCCTGCCCTTAGCAGCTTATTCTAACAGGACAACTTTGCACAAAGGGAAGCAATCCCAGCTTTAGCTACACTCCCACGATGGTGTCTCATGGACTTGCACCTTTTGCAGCTTCACCGGCCACCCTTTGTGGGCAGCTACACGCAGTTAAACACACACACACACATGTACATACAAATAATTACACGCATGGTATACATGTACCACTAAATATGCATGCGGAAGTTTTACCATGTCCATATGCTACCCTTCAGCTGGTCAGTCGCTCGAGTCCTCCGCATGTGCTGCCGACCGTGCCAGGCACCAGAAGGGCCTCGAAGACGTATCTAGAAATGCTCGCGGAGCGTGAGGTGAGCCTCACGGGACCAAACACCGATGCTAGCCTCAAGCTGATGCGTATGGCAGCGTGCATCCTACGTGACTGTGGTTAAACTCCTCATAGGCAGCCACCTGGATGCCCATCGGCCGTCGTTTGGTCGCTGGCACCGTTGAGGCGACGGACGCCAAGTCAGAAGTCCAGGCCCTCACCAACGAGTGGGAAAACCAAACGTTGAAGGCGCGGTGAAGTCCGGGCTCCGGTGAAGTCCGGGCCGGTGGCTCGGATAGCCATGGTTCTTCTTGGCCAGCTTCGGTGTTATGACTGGCCTCTGGAAGAGGGTCATGTCCCGACGAGCGGTGAGAGCGTCAATCGAAGCTACGAAGCACCCCTGGGCCCCTGGGCATGACTTTTTGTGAGGAAGGCCTAGTTTTGAAGAGTACACACTGAAAAGCTAGCGCGGCTTGCATGGACATCTGAGCTGTGCTTCTTTGGCTTCAGGAGATCGACAAGACGTATCAGGAACCCTTGGACTCCGAGGCCAGGCTGGTGCCGTAACCGCGAGACTCATAGCTTGACAGAGCATTCTCTGTATTTTTTGCCTATCCTGTTCTACATGCTTGATTGCATTTGATTGCCACATGCTATTCAACATATATAATATACTATACATGCATATTGTTATTAAATGTTGGTTGGACTGGACACCTTGTTTGCATTTGGATGTCGCTATTTTTTGAGGGGTTCCCAACACCAGAGTTGACCGTCTTCGCGCCCAGGATGAAGGTGCCAAAGAGGCCTGGGGTGGTCGTGTCGTTCGTGTCGTCGGTCGTGTTGCCGTGTTGCCGGCCATTTCGAGTTCGAGGCCACCAGTGCTAGCTGACACCTTCGGCTAATGAGACATCAGGTAGGATGGAAGTAAAGTTGCTGAGGGCAAGGCCGGCCAAGGGAAGTCGCCGACTTCTTGAACATTTCCTAAGACACAGGTTGCTTGCAAGACCTTGGAAGTGGCACTTTTGCATGTTCGATTGAGTGCGGATGAGTGCTGTCCTTCTTGGGTTCATTGGAAAGCCACTTGCGCCCTCGGCAACTTTCTTGGCATTTGCTTGCACGTGCATCGAATTGGGCAGAGAAACCATCTCCTGACCCTGCATGCAGCAGTTGGGTGTCGTGGGGATTTGTTTAGCCATGGCATGTCAGTGTCATGTTGTGGCCCTTGATGGCCAAGACTGCAAAGCAAATATACACACACATATATATATATATTATATATAAATAGATAAGCGAAATATGCGAACAAGGGAGACATACGTCAATACCAAGGCGCTTCTGTGTGATCACAGGATCATATGCCGTATGGGTCTTAGTGGTGAACTATTTACGCCACTCTAGTCGACGTGAATGATGTCGCGGAGCACCGCCCGCATCGGAGGACGCTTACACTACAGCTTGGCAGTCCATCCTTTGTGTTCTCTTCTATCCCTTTAGAGACTGCATGGCTTGAAAGAACACACGCGCCCTGTGATCTTCACACCCAAATCACCCCCTGACAAGGGCTCTTTTGGTGGCCAACTAATGCGGAACCGGGAGATCTCCCGCGACGCCTTGCTTGCGCAACCTGTGACGCGCTGACAACGTCGGTGAAAATTGGTGGGCTCGCGTTGTCTCGCATTTACACGATCTAGAAGCACATATTTGGTGGGAATAGGTGGGACTCATTTGTAATTACTGTCATTGACGTCATTGTATAAGAAACTGTTGATGTTTTGAGCTGACCTCCTTTAAATACGAAGTGAAAGCAGGCATGACAAGCGAAAACTCACAATTCACGAACATAGCGGAGCCGTTGCTGCCAGCTGTGTGTCACAGCGTAGCGTAGCCGCTGGAGCTCCGCCGGTGGTGTTTTCAAGGGGAACTTGCCATGGCTGCTCTTCTTTTTTTATGCCTTTGGCCATTTCTGGCTCACGCAGACTGGGCGTTCCGACCTCAGTGATTTCGGAGATTTTCGGAGCTGAAGCGACTTATGCGGGCTTCTCCTAGTTAAGTAAGCCTGTGGACACTCACAGACTGACAAATACTTTAAGAATCTTTAAGACTGTAACGTATTGCAATGTAAGATATATATAATATACAGTGTACTATGTCTATGTTCTTTATATATTATATACATATATATATATATATATCCTGCAGAGATGGCGGCTCAGATGAAGGGGTCATTCTGCAGATTGATCGCCGGCAATGGTTCATTGATCAGATCAGATACCAAGCCGTACCACGCACTAAGCATGTCATCCTAGGCTTGTCCTGTCTGAGTGTTTGTCATCTACATGCCAAGCACGTACTTTGAGTGTCTATCAAGCCCCCAGATCACCGCAGAACACATAATCTTCCAAACCCTTTCAACGCTTTGGACTGGACGACTGTGTCCTTCGCTCCACCACACGCGCGTTTGCGTCGTTTGCGCCGCGCACTGATCTGATCGCTTCCAAGGTCAACGACGGTCGCCAACAAAAGCGCTGGAGAAGAGTTGATCATGCAGCTGGAGTTGCTCGGTGTGTCACCATAGAGACCACCCTGTGGGGAGTGTGCATTTGTAGTTTTCATTGAGTGAGTCTGTGAGATACTGCGAGGTTGTAGGTGAATTGTGTGAACGACTGGGTTGCCTGTTGGCGGTTCTTTTTTTATTATGGCATCCTCCATTCAGCCGCGTGCCGGCACGTTTGCTGTGGCTTTGATTTAATGTTGGGCGATGTTCTGGCCTCGAATCCCGGCACATAAGCATGATCTGGTCATCCTCAGGTATCAAATTTGACCTCACTACCGCACAGTTGATTCATAACTCAACGGTCTAGGAGTCTAGGATTTGCAGCCCTGTTGGAAATGCGACAGCTTTTCTGGCCAGGAACCGTTTGCATCCGCAGAACTACACCCTCGAGAGCACTCACTTGGAAGACATTCGATCTTTCTTTTGGTGGGACGGTGAGCTGAAGGAGCTTTCATTCATGGCTTCACTCGGGAGTTTTCCTTGCATTGAGCAGCATGTTTTGATATTTTTGGAACTCGGGATGATCACTTTCAGAGGCACTTTGGGTGGAGCCCTGTAGGGAAGAAGTCGGAAGAAGCACGAATGCCGAACGCAGGAAGAAGATGAACTGAGAGCTACCATCGACTCTGAGGCAGGGATCCATGTAGCTTGGTATCTGAAGCATAGACAAAGACTCCCCAAAAGGCCACTACATGCCTTTGCATGCCATGTCCGACAAAGTTTGTGGAAAGGAGCTCAGCTAGGAGATGTGAAGGTGCTGTAGTGTGAGGGAACTCAGTTGTGGGATCGCCTAGGTTGAGGTGAATTTGACAAGGCTTTGGCCAAACATTTCACTCGTTCTGGTTGGATTTGGATATGTGAACTTTCCTTCCTTCCCACTAGCCCCACTGGTGGCCAGAGCCATAAATTATACATATCGCTTTCTGTGCAGGTTCCCTTCGCAGTTCTCTTGGAAGCTCTTGCCGCCGACCACCCTTATGACTTGCCGATGATCGTGTCCAGCGCTCATCTAGGGTCTGAGGAGCGGGCAAAAAATACGGCAGGCGAATGAGCAATTGAAACAAATACTCAGTCGATCACTGCATTGGTTCGTTTAAGGGTTCTACTTCGGATGCTGTGGGACTTCCACTGCATTCACAACAACAATGCTGGACCTGAAAGTTATGACAATCTATGACAATCCTACGCCATTTGGTGAAAGTCACGATGCTTTTAGGTTTTGCCGGCCCTTGTTCACAGGGTCACGGGTCACGGTATGTCACGGTATGTCACGGTCGTCAGTTGAGAGCAGTTGTGATCCACTTCACGCCGACCGCAGGTTGCATATTCTGCTGCCCCCCACTCCCCCAGGAGGAGCACAAAAACCACAAGCATGTCATGGCCATTGCAGTGGTGAACGAAACCAAGCTGGAAGTGGCTCATGGCTTGGCCAAGTCCATCGTAGAGGTGATTCGCTCGGATCGTGGGTTGTGGGCATTTTAGTTGCACAGGTCAAGCATCATGATTGTTGGCTTCTCTTTGTGGGGGGAAACAAGCCCGTTTGAAGATTTTGAAGAATATGTCTTAATAGTTACATGCATAACCATGTTTGTATATATATATATATATTTCACAAGCGCGCTGATATGGCAACCCTATGTCCAGCCAACGTCTTCAACAGGGATCCTTTGGAAGTTCCAATCGGATAAATGTAGAAAGAATTCGTACAAATAGACCGAGCACAAGCACTCAGCTTGGCCACATCAATTTATTCTGCCGAAGGCTGACACATAGCATCCCTGCCAGTGGCATCATTTTTGGTACATGGCACTAGTGTCACGCAATCCATGCACCTTGTTTTCTTTAGGATGGAGGATGGGCCCAATCACGTTTTCTGAACCCTCACAGCTTCTGACTTGAGCCGCTTGTTAGTGCCAGTTGCGGCTGCATCTCCCTTTTATGTCCAACGCGGGCACGTTTCAGGTGAAATTTGCCGCATGTGCTCAGGCCATGATGGGAGGGCAGATTGGGCAGCTGTGGCATCACAAAGATTCGGAAGATACTGGGTCGAACTCCAAATGCGCTCTTAGACTAATTACCTACTACAGTATGGAGTCATTTTCAAGATAAAGTCGGATGAGCCATCACGTGCGGCACTCGCGGCAGGTGGCACAGCTTCAAATGAAAGACTCCGAAGTGGAGCACTTCACGATCATTTTAAAGACCTTGGCCGCAGCCAAGGTGGCCCGATGTGGTTTGTGAGCGAGTGCGGTTCGGGTGGCAAGTGTTTGATTTTTTGTTGGTCACGAGTCACGGTGCTAGAGTTTTGGAATGTTTTGGAACATGCCAAACCGCGAACCTATGACTATGACCTTGGAGGAGGAACAGAAAGTGGAGTTGAGTGCTGAAAGAAGGATTCAAACTCAAACTGACTCAAACAGCCCAACATGTCATTTGGCCCAGGACCAGATTGAGGTTGAATTTGGAGGCTTGCACTTCGACTTTCATCCGATCCAAGCCAACGAGCAATACTTGAAGTGGATTGAGGACAACACGGTCGTCCGTCCACATGCTGGGGACCCAGAGGCAACCTTAGAAGGTGTCCAAGAGTTGGTCCAACGATCTAAGGGGAAACCTTTGAAGAGATCTAAAGAGTCTACAATAGCATGTTTGAGGGCAAACCTTCCCAATGCCTTTCCCGAGTTGATCCCTGGAAACTGAGGTGGCGGAGCTTTGACGCAGCTGGCCATGCATGAAATTCGGAGAAGTCAATGCTGAGAGAGACGAAACGTGGTGTTTGAGCGCTGGCCGTAGCTAATGGAGCTAAAACCTGGTAGAGGTCTCACAAAAGCAAAGCACCTGGAAGACCTGAAATCATGTTCGGCAAAGACCCTCAAGAAGCTTCAATGCGGGTTAGACTTGTCATGACTTGTCCTCAAAGAATTATATTAAGTTCTGGCCTTGCATGTTTAAGTTGCAGCCTGCAGCTACAAATAGCTACTTGGGCATATTCAAGAATTGATTGAAGACTTGCCGCGCTGCAGCACCTGAAAGCTGAAATTGGCTGTTTGCGGTGAATCTGGCTTTCAGCCAGCAATGCGTCGCCTTGTGCACTCAACACAGGCATATACCAGGCTGACCTTTGGCAGCCAGAAAGAAGGATGTCAGGTGCGCTTTTTGATGCTTTGTGTGTCTACTTCCAGCCATGTTTATTGTGCAATTGATTCCATTGCATGTATTGCCGATGTTCACTGATCAGTCAACATCAATTACAGGATGAACCTCATGCCTCATGCCACTTCAGGCCACAACATAGACGGTGGGAGGGGAAGTTCACGTGCCAGTTCGCCCGCTCATGTTTTGGTGTCAAGTCTTCCGTCCTTTTTATTTTTAAGAGACGGAAGGTAGGGAAGTTCCACCGTCAATGCGCAGTGATTGTGAACATCTGACTTCTTTTTTTTGAGTAGATGTTTCACCCAACTACCCGACGGCCCTCAGACATAAACATACAATGGCCCTGACTGAGCATGGGGCCAGTGAGCCGACCTAAAGTGGATTTCTCGTAAGACGCAGGACTTCTCGTAAGACACGAGTGAGAACACAAAGAAGACACAGACTGGAAAACAATTTTCCATTATAAATTTAGCTCCGGTGCTGTGGCGCCATGGCCTCCACAAGCGCTGAGTTGGAAGCAAAGTTGCTGAAGCGACGACAGTTTGGGCCCTAGCAGCCAGGCAATGCGGCCTTGTCCGCAGAAGCGGGGTCCGTTCACTGACAAAAGGTGGGAGATATAATGTATATTCAGTGTGTATATTGCTTAACACCACCCGAACCACCAAACTGCGGAATACTACGCGCGCGTGTGTTCTCTCGTTCAGGAAGTGCGAGGGCGCCATCTCCCCGCCAACGCAGAAGGGCAGCCGGGTTTGGTCCGATGAGATGGCCAAGGTGCGAAGGGCTTAGAGGGGCGTGAGGAGGGGACAAAGGCCGATGAGGGACTATCTAGTGATACGATGTTATTTTTGTGTATCTATGGCTGCCTATCCCCAAAACAGAGGGGACTGGACTAACGACAATGGAATAGAGGAGATCTGACAATGCTGCGTTGTTCCACTTCAGCATCACCTCCGAGACGCAGTTCCCTCCAGACATGGTTCCTTTCTCAAGTCACCAGTCTCCTATGTGACCATGGCCTCACGATCTTGGCAGACGGTGTCTCAACAGCGGCGAGCACGACTCAATGCCCAAGGCTCGCCGACTTGTGTCATGTCATGCGCCAGAGAATGAGTCTTAGACGTGCGCAGTCTTAGAAGTGCGCACGTGACAGCCTTTCTCAGGAGGATTCTTGTTCGGCTGTTCCGCAGTTCAATCCGCCAAACTCACGTTCAAACGAGACGTGAGGCGGTGATGCGAATGGCAATCCACAAGATGTCGACACGGCACCTCGCAGCGTCTCATCAACCTCATCTTCCAGCAGGTCGGGAGCGAATGTGAATTTTGGTGCCATACTGCTATTACATGCGTACTCTTGTACTCTCTTGTACATGGCAGATTTGTCAAAACCCTGAGATTCTGATTGACCTCCCAGCACGGCCACGGTTTTCGGAGTGTGCGGTGTTGATGGCACAGAAGGCGTAGTTTTTTGATTTGCTTTGCGGAGTGCAGAGTTACGCTCCCGCTTGCCGCGTTTTGAGCACAAGGCCGAAGGGGAAGGATGTGGAGTCGGCTGCAGTTGCTGCCAGATTTGGCCAGAAGTATTTAATCCTTTTGGGCTGCATACCGGCCTGGCTCCCAGCGCGTTTGCATCCTTGTTGCACTGGTCATGCTCATTCGCAAATGCATGCTAGAAAAGTGCCCGTTTTCCAAGGCATTGCTGCTGTGCATGTTCCTTTCGCAGAGACCCTTCGAGAGGTGCACTGCCTTTTTTGTGGGGGCAGGCCCTGTTGAAGAAACATAGACATAGAACTGTACTAGACAAAATCTGTTCCAGACTGATGCAGGCCGCCTGTTCCACTCCAGCACCAGACCTGTTTCATCGTTCGAAAGCTTCATGGCTCTTTTGGTGTGAGGCCGGGTGCCGAGCTTGCCAGCCACATGGCAGGGGATTCGCCGGAGGATTCGCCGGAGGAGGCCAGAGGCTTTGGCGGATTCGGCAGGTTGATCTATTCTTGCTTCAAAGCAGTCAGGCTGCCAGGGGCGAATCACAGGGCTAATGTGAATCGTAGCCTGAAAAACACCTGCGCACCTCCGTAGCCTCCATGGGACTTTGGGGCCTTATGTCGTTTGAACTCATCTGTGGATATCACTTGTGGATTGGCAGAGTTTGTCATGGCAGGATTGGCCTGAACTCTCAGAGAAGCCACTCGTGCCGATGAAGGAGACCGGTCGAAGAGGCTTCGGTCGCTAGATTGCTACCGAGTCAAAGCACCCGTTATAATCCTATATCATTACAGTACTGTATGATGTTGTTCAATTTTGTTCAATATTGTGTTGTGTGCATGTGTGTTCTTAAGGAGGTGTCATGAGGGTGTCTTCCCAGCCTTAGGGATTCTTGTTGCTTTCTCTTGGGGGCAACGCCCCACCCACTTACATGCCATCTCAAAAATGCCGAGTTGGTTTTGTTTCAATTCTGGTTGGACACGGGTTTCAGGATCCGCTGCCGGAATTGGAAGAGGAGCTGCCCTTTGCACTAGCCTCGGGGGCCAGCCCATGTCACTTTTTCTGTTTGAGAGGTTCTTGAGAGACACTGATAGAGCTTTAGGGCACGCTTCCATCTCTTTTTTTCCCATTTCTTCCCTTGTGGCCGCTTGCGACCTCTTGCGACTACCTCTCTGTCGCGTGCGTTGCGTCAACATCTTCGACCTTTGAGCCGACCGAGGATTTGCAGCAGTTCAGTGCCACCGTCCAAGAATCGCATTTGCAGCCTGTGCCCCAGTTTCACCAACCAGATCTACAGGTGGAGTGACGTGATGTTTGATGTGGGGACCAGGCCACACCACAGCTCTGTAGCTGCTGACGCCAGGAGATGGGTAGTGGTGCAGTATGGTGCAGTGCATGGCTGTTGCGTCGCAATGAGGGATATCATTGGAGGATGTTGGAGAGGTGTTCTTTCAAAGGAGCCTGCGCATGCCTACTCTGTGACCATCATGAGAAACCAATCCTCAACCTCTGGCCGCTTCCAACCCAACAAACATACTGTACCAATGTGGATCCAATATGACCCCATCACTGAACAGATGCATCCCAAAACCACCCAAACCTGGGCCGCCCGCGTGGTCGAGCTCGCTGAGACCGTTTCTCCGGCAGGGCCCCACGGGACCTGACCAGCGAGTGGTCGCACTTCCTCTCCGAGAACGGAGCGATCCGACAGGCTGGCAGGGTGGCCGCGGTCGCATGCCAAACGCAAAAGGGATGAAAGGCATTTGGAAAGGCCTCAAGGAACCACTGTTTCGAGTTTAGTTGAGAACTGTTGCTTTGGGGGCCTGGGCCCCTAAGCAAGGTGACCAGCAATTTTCTCCATCCCCCTGATGCATAGGGGCCACTTTCTTGCCCCTCTTTCAGCGAAGCTCAAGGAAGCATGGGAAGGTTCTGCCTTCTCCATGCAGGTTCTCAGCCAATAACATCTATAATTTGGAACTCTGAGACCAATGTAAGCATTGGGCAAGTTGATGTGTGGAAGTCACTTTGCAGTCTAGCAGTGTAAAGGACATGCCTGGTTGACCGCAGGCCTTGAGTATGGCTCACGAGAAAAGGGCGGTTAGGCGCTCTAGGGCCCTCCACTGAAACAGTGGTAGCGGAGCCCGGCTACGGCTGGGCAGTAGACCCCGTCTAGGGGAAGTTCGGCCGCAAGGCCACCTTAGACCCTGACCTTCAGGGAAGTCCGGTCGCAAGACCACCTTAGACCCTGACCTTCAGGGAAGTCCGACCGCAAGGTCACCGTAGACCCTGACCTTCAGGGAAGTTGTAGCCGCCATGGCGATGGCGGAAGGCAAGAGAAGAAAACCACCACGACAGTGGACAGCTAGGACTACGGCGGCTGGGCATGGAGCTGAAGCAGCGGCTGATGCAGAACTTGGCGACACCGATCAAGGACTCCTTGGAGCTGTCGCGGAACCTCAGCTGCTGACGAGTGCGTACTGCACTTCCACCCAAACGGGTGATGTTGCCACAGCTCATGCTCCAGATGCGCCGACATGGACACCTGAAATGCCTTCGGCAAGCTCAACGACACCAGCACCTTGGAGCCAGCCAGCTCCAACACCAATGAGTCCCACGGCGACTCCATGGTTGCCACCACAGGCCCTACCTCCTGGTCAACAAGGCCCTTGTGGACAAGTCCAACCCGGCTATGTGCCTTGCTCTTCTGGTCACCTTGGACCTTGTGGACTATGTCAACCCGGCTATGTGCCTTGCTTTCCTGGTCACCTTGGACCTTGTGGACCTTGTCAACCTGGATATGTGTCTAGCGCTTTTCCTGGAGTACCTGAACATGGTTTTGGTTGTGGTGCAGGTTTTGGACCAGGACCTCATGGATGTGGAGCTCAAGCTTTTGGACCTTCGGCCCCATGGCCTTCTACTCCAACAAGCCCTATGAGTTTTACACCACCACAGCCAGCGGCAAGTGTACCTCGACCTTCAACTCCGGCAACACCTACAAGTCAGCATGGTCAACCGGATGCCAGTTCGAGGACTTCTCCAATGCCACCAGATCCTTGGGCGAAGTTTCGTGCGACTCAAGGTGCAAGCAATGGCATTGGAACCGCAGCCGACTTTCAAGCCAACTTGGGTAACATGGTTCCCCCTCCAAATACTACTCCAATGGACTCGGCTTTCACAGCTCTCGGCCACACGCTTCCAGGCGGAGTTCCAGACAGCAGTCAACCAACAGACATGGAATCCTTGTTGAGGCAACTGGTCTCCACCCTTGGAGGCGAGCGGAAATCTCAAGTGCCGACTTGGAGTGGCGCACCAAACCTCTTGCGCCAATGGCTGAAAAGCCTCGGGCTCTGGGAACAAGAAACTTCACTTCCCAAGAGCAAGTGGGGACTGCGCCTGTATGCAGCCCTCACCGACGATGCAAAGCGCATCGCCGACACGGTGCCAATGGATGAATTGGTCACTGAACGCGGCTACTCAGCCATCCTCACGGCACTGATGTCGAAGTACAAGCCTTATTTGGAGGCAGTTGGACCTTCAAGTGTCGACTCCTTTTTGTACCTTGGCGAAAGAGGCCCCAAAGAATCCTTTGCAGCCTATCTGGCCCGCAAGGAAGTCCAACGCCAAGAACTCGAGAGTCAGATCGGCGAGAAGCTGCAGACCTTGGTCGCCGGCCGTGTACTCCTTCGCCAGGCGAACTTGACGGAGCAACAGCAGCAGCTCTTAGCTTTGAAGATGACCACTTTGGCCACCTACGAGGAAGTCATCCAGAGCCTTCGACCTCTGGACAGGTTGGACAGCTTGGCCAAAGCAGGTGGACTACCAGGAGCTGCAACGACGACCAACAAGACCTACATGACTGCCGAGCCCTACGACTACGACTACTTCGATGAGGACGAAGAGGAGGAGGATGGAGAAGCTGATGACTACGACTATGAGGAGGACGGCGACTCTGTGGAAGATGGCATGCTCCAGTTTGAAGACAGGGAGTATGATGAGATGGAAGCTGTCTATGTCCAGGCGTACAACGACGTGCGCAAGGACTTGAGGTCCCGACGAAATGAGCGGGGCTTTGTCAACCACCGTGGGAAGAAACAAAAAGGAAGCGGCAAAGGCGGTCGCTTCAGAAGGAAAGGCCGTGGAAAAGGTCGCGGTGGAAAAGCACCAAAAAGGGATGACTCCTTTGTGAGGGGCACAGAACAAGAACTTCTAGCCCGAACCAGATGCTTCAACTGCCAAGAACTCGGGCACATCAGCAGGAACTGCCCCATGAAGCCCTCGAAGAAGCAAGGTGGCGGCACAAACTTTGTCACTGTTGGCACTGGCCCCAAGGCTAGTCCCAAGGCTCCTACTTCGTCGACGATGATGACAAGCAGGACTACCTCGAGCATCTTTGTCTTCAGCAAGGTGAACAGTGAAGCGACCCAAAGATCCTTGACAAGAGCCATCTACGCCTGTGTTCGCTGCAGAGCCAACCAATGTGTGGTGGACACCGCGGCTGAAGATGCAGTCACAGGTTCGCAAGCCTATGAAGCTATGGTTGAAGAGTTGGCCAGCTTGGGACTTCGCCCGGTTCCTGTCAAGCAGCAGGGCATTCCATGCGCTGGCATTGGAGGACAAGCTCAGCTTCGCTTGGTTGCTGACGTTCCCACTTGCATTGCAGGCTTGCTGGGCATCATTCGCTTCTCTGTCATCGAGGACACCGAGAACTTCGTGACCCCGCCGTTGCTTCCCATATCCTATCTGGAGGCAGTGGGCAGCACCTTGGACTTCATCCACGACGTGTACACCACCCAGGACGGCCATTCCACTGTGATGACTCGACTACCTTCTGGTCACCGTGCTGTCAGCCTCTTCGAGTTTGACATCACGCCCTGGAACCTACCTCCTGAACATCGTGTCAATGGCTTTGACCCTTTTGTTTTGCCCGCTGGACGTTCCTCGCACTCCTTTTTGGGGGGGAGTGGGATCGGTGGGATCGGGTTCTGTTGTTCCTTTGCGTGGCTCGACTTTCGTCGATCGGACCCCTGACGCTGGAGTTCCCATGGACGATTCGGTTTTCCTGCACTACCTGGAAACCCACAGCAAGCACCCTGCACCAAGCACTGTGCGCACTGCGCCAAGCACTGTGCCTTCAGAGTCCGAATCTACACGACGAGAAGATCGCCCTGGAACCCCGACGGAGAAGTACACCACTGCTTCGGAACGTTCAATGGAAAGAGAACCTGAGAGTGTCGCAGAACTTCCATCAATGAGAACTGGATCCTGCAGGCGCCCCTCTTGCACCTGCTTCACCTGAACCTCCAGTTCAAGAGATTCAGACTGTCTTGCCTACAAGGTCGGAATACACCAGCTATGCAGACTCGCGATACTCAGACTCCAGATCGAGATCCCGGACGGTCAGGCCTCGAGAAGAACACACGCCTTGTGGAGAAGGCATGGGAGAAGAGGAATCCAGAATGGACGATCCAGAAATGACGCCAAGCCGACCTTCACCATCTATGGACGAGGATGCCAATGAGACCACGGACAACGAGCCTATGGTGCGCTCGGACGGCGTGGACTTCTTCTTCGAGCACTACAATGGCAACCTCTCCTTCTTGGAAGCTCGGCCAGGAATGTGGACCGGACACCTTCCAGTGCCAGCTGACGTGCGATCTCTGCACATTGGAGGTTTTCCCGTCCCTGCATCGCAGGTATCCTCCAGGCGGGTCATTCACATGATTGCCCCGACCGAGATCTTCGCCAATGGCACTTCCGAGAAAGTGATCGACGACTTGTGGACTCAATTTCCAAGGCCAAGGACAAATTTCTCCTGGAGCGGCTCCGTCACCTTCTTTGAGCAGACAGAAGGGGAAGAACAACTCCCTTTTGGAAAAGGATGGCAAAAGCACGGCGGCCGCGGACCTTATGAAGATCGACCTCGTGACGCTGGACGACCCTCTGAGCCCTCGGACCAAAACTCGAGGAACATGGCTTCCAGTAGCTCCAACTATCGCCCACCTGGACATCACAAAGGTGGAAAACAGAGAGCAGTCCTTTGCGAGGCCACCGAATCAAGTCCCTCACAAGGCCACTTTGGACCCAGCAGTTCGGCAGATGTGCAAGTTTTTGATATGGAGCACACTGATCATGATGGTGCATGGGTTTTGAGTCCAGGGTTGCAAGAACATGTTTATTTTGAAGAGTCATCGAAGCCGACGTCATTCAGTCTTTCCAACTTGAAGAACAACTTGGTGCGATGTCCGAGAAGGAGATCTTTTCTGAATCGCCGAAGCCTTTTTAGCTCTATGAGGAGAACTTTGTTCCAGGCAGCCCAAGCCTTCGTGACACGACTCGTTCTTTGCCATGGCGCCCAAGAAGAAGACGCCAGCAGCTTCGGGCGATGTGCAATCCCGAATCTACGAGATGTTGAAGAAAGAGGATGCACAGATCCCAGCCTCGACTCGCAAGCTGGGAGAAGCACGCTGTTCAGCGGCATGGGCCCGAATGGTGAAAGCTTTGCTCTTCATGCTGGTGACCGTGCAGAACCAGATGGTCCTGGACTACTTGCAGGAGAAGGGCATCATGGACGACTACATCCAGGAGGACGAGTACCAGCCGGAGAAGGAGAAGGCTCAGAAGAAGGGTTCCAAGAAGACCAACAACCAATCTTGGATCCCACAGGGAATCGGCAATCCACTGGCCAGGTCTCAGACCCATCAGTACTGGGACAAAGAACCTCGAGATTGCCCACATGCTCCAGAACATCTTCGGTGCAGAGCCAACAGGTACACTCGATGGTGGGTGTGTCTGACTTGCGGATCAAGGTGGGAGAGAAAGGACGCAGATCCGTCCGCTTCGACGGTGGAGAACACACCACCAGCCCCAAAGGCCAAGAGTCTCCCAACCAACGTGGGAAGCTATCCGCAACACCTACCAGCACCGAGGTCCCGACCGAGTCAAGGCAATCTTCAACTGGCACCTACAGCTCATGGCGGGCTGACCTACTGGACGGACCCTGGCGCGACTGGATCCGAGGAGCCAATTCCCCGGACCATCAACCCGATGATCGAGACCAAGGGCCAGGTCGTCAAGTCCAAGAAGGATCCGCCAATGCCAAGAAGATCTATGTCAAAGGATCGCAAGATGACTGGTCTTCGAGCAATTCGGCGCCTGAAGATGCCGGTGCCGACCTTCGCGATGCACCAGGACGACTCGGAGATTCAGGAGCTGGTGGAAGAGAGCGATTCGCCAACATGGCAGGAGGTGGACATGAACACCGGGTTCGATCCCGAGTCCTAGTCCACAAAGAGCAACTGGGTGGCAAGAATGGCAGCAAGCTTCGCGCTCTTTTGGAGCGCCATTTCCCCAAGTTCATGGTGTTTCTTTGCCTGAACTGCTGCTTGACACCGGCCACCACAGAAGCTTTTGGTTCACCAGAATTTACAGCATGCTATTTTGCAGATCAGTTCAAGTCCAACAACATTTTTGAGCCCGTATCACCACTGCGCACCCCGCATGATTTTGTCAACTGCTATGTCTATGGACAGATGGCGCAGCATTTTGCTAGTGCCAGCCATGACACTCAAGGTGTCACCAAGCCGTTGCACAAGGAGATCAAGAAGATGCTTGTGAAGAACTTGAAGGATCAGCCCTCAGTGATGGAGATCTATTGTCCTCCACGTTTGGCAGAAAGAGCAGAGAAGCATGGCTTTCAATGCGGCGGCAGCCTCGACCTCACTACTGGTTGGGACTTCAACTTGAAGAAACACCAAGAAGCCGCTCTTCGCTTGATCAACCGGATGAAGCCAAGTTTGATTTTGTTGTGCCCTCCGTGTACTACCTTTTCAAGTCTTCGATACCTCAGCAACTTCAAGCGCCAACCAAAAGTGGTCGCCGCTGAGGAAGAGGAAGGGCTTCGACACTTGCGCTTCAGCATCCTCATTGCAAAGCTTCAGCATCGCAATGGGAGAGGCTTTCTGTTCGAGCACCCCAAAAGGGCTACCTCGTGGAAACGCCCAGAACTTCAGCAACTTCGTGATGAACCTGGAGTTTATGCGGTTGATGTTGATCTATGCAGGTTCGGTCTCACCACAACTCAGGGACAGCCTGCTCTAAAGCCCACTCTGCTTCTGACAAACATCGAGGAGCTGGCCATCACTCTTGGTCGCCGGTGCGACGGCCACCACAAGAAGCACCAGCCTCTACTTGCAGGAGAAGCTGGACACGCAGCCAAGTACACTCCCCTTTTTGTTGAGAACATTCTCCGAGGTCTTCGTTTACACTTGGAAGCTTGGACCAAGTCTCATAGAGCTGAGCAAGACTATTGGGAGACCAAGCCAGGCGAAATCATTCGACACCATCGCCAACCTCGTCGAGCCCTATATGTTCCAGCTGGAGTGTCTGGCTGCCCCTTCAAGTCCTATGACTTGGCCTCTACCCGGACGACTTCTTTGCGCTACCTCGACGGCAAGAAGGCCACCTTCGTGGACGATTGGCGCTCTACTTCAACTCCTCGCAGAACCTTTTCAGGCCTCTGGACTGGTTCTACTCGCTTTGAGCTGAAGTGCCCAATGGTTTTGCCCAACGATTGGCAGCAAGCTGCCAACTTCATCGTGGCTTCTGCCGCACACCCTTTGCACAACTACTTGACCGAGGACTCTGCCATGCAGGTGGACTGGCAATTTGCATTTCCAGCCCACAGAACTTTGAGAGGCGCGGACCCCTCTTCGTCGCTTTCGGCGCCTTCGAGCTCGCAGATTCCTCTGGCTGAAAGGCCTTTTGTTGATGCAATGGACGACGAGGACGAGGACACGGCGCTGGGAAAGACTCAGGAAGCTCTCAAGTCCATGGAGCTGGATAAGGTTGTGGACGAAGGCATGGCTACGCTCCACCCAGCTCTACGACGAGAAGTCCTGAAGGTCCACCGCAACTTGGGCCACCCTTCCTTGCAGGCCTTCACTCGTGCTCTTCGCCACGCAGGTGCAAAACAAGAAGTTGTGGAGTGGGTCAAACACCACTTCAAATGTCCCCTTTGCGAACGAAAGCAACAGCCCTCATCGCATCGCCCTGGACACTTGCAGAAAGCGATGGCTTTCAATGAAGTTGTCGGCATCGATTTGCTGAAAGTCAACGTCCCGACCATCGAGAAAGAATACCTGATGATGAACTGCTTATGCTGGGGAACAGATCTCCAAATAGTGGAACCTCTGGCCAACAAGCAAGCAAGCACGGTGTTCTTAGAGTTCTCAAGAAGTTGGATCGCCCATTACGGTCCTCCGTCACTTCTTGTGGCGGATCAGGGACGCGAATTCATTGGTCAACAGTTCGCAGAATCCCTCGCACATCTTGGTGTACCCATATACTACACCAACGCTCGCAGTCCATGGGAAAACGGCCGCACAGAACGAGCCGGAGGGATATTTAAATCCCGACTGGAGACCACACTCCATGAGATCAGCGCCACCACGGATGAAGAAGTTCGAGCTGCAATCTACGAAGTGGTGGCTGCACACAACAGGTACTACAACCGCTCTGGCTTCACACCCTACCAGAGAGCTTTCGGCGTACTTCCACGCCTACCTGGTAGCCTGTTGTCTGATGATGTCATGGACAAGCAACTCGTGTTGGAAGGAGGAGGCGATGCAATGCAACGCTCATGGCAGATTCGCGAAGAAGCAGCCAAGTCCTGGTTACGATGGCAAGACGATGAAGCAGTTCGACGAGCAGTTTCGACTAGAACCAGAACCTCGGATAACAAGCACTTCGAACTTGGCGAGCTGGTCTACATCTGGCGCAACGTCCCCAACTTCAAGGGTTGGAGTGGACCTGGAACTTTGATTGCCCAGAAAGATGACACCATGTGGGTGAGCATGCGAGGCTACTTGATGAAGGCCTCAAAAGCCCAGACCAGAAAAGCCACTTCGGAGGAGAGCCGAGGAGCTGAACTCGTTCGACACCTCTCTGCGGCTATGCTTGAAGATTTGGAAAAGGACAAGGTGAAACTATACCGGGACATAGCTGGAGAAGGAGCACCAGATGAAGATGAA